CAGATAGAGATTTTGGAGTGGAAGTGGGAGCGAATCACCATGGACTTTGTAGTTGGGCTCCCGCGAACTTTGAGAAAGTTCGATGCTATTTAGGTGATTGTGGATCGGCTGACCAAGTCCGCTCACTTTATTCCTATGTGTACTACTTATTCCTCGGAGCGACTGTCGGAGATCTATATCCGGGAGATTGTTTGCTTGCATGATATTCCAATTTTCATCATTTCAGATAGAGGTACTCAGTTTACATCACGATTCTAGAGAGTCGTTCAGCATGAGTTGGGTACTTGGGTAGAGTTGAGTACAACATTTTACCCTCAGACGGACGGATAGTCCGAGCGCACTATTTAGATTCTTGAGGATATGCTCAGTGCGTGTGTGATCGAGTTTGGAGGGTCTTGGGATCAGTTCTTGCCATTGGCAGAGTTTTCTTACAATAACAGCTATCAGTCCAGCATTCAGATGGCACCGTATGAGGCTTTATATGGTAGACGGTGTAGATCCCCGGTGGGTTGGTTTAAGCTGGGTGAGGCCAGATTATTGGGCACAGACTTGGTTCAGGATGCTTTGGAGAAGGTCAAGGTGGTTCAGGATAGACTCTGTACAGCCCAGTCAAGATAGAAGAGTTACGCGGACCGGAAGGTTCGTGATGTTTCCTATATAGTTGGAGAGTGGGTTCTGCTTCGGGTTTTACCTATAAAATGGCGTTATGAGATTTGGGAAGAAGGGAAAGTTGAGTCCGAGGTCTATTGGGCCTTTTGAGATATTTAGGCGTATTGGGGAGCTTGCTTATGAGCTTGCCTTACCTCCCAGCTTGGCAGAAGTTCATCCGGTATTCCATGTCTTGATGCTCCAGAGGTATCACGACGATCCATCGCACGTGTTGGATTTCTGTTCGGTCTAGTTGGACAAGGATCTATCTTATGTTGAGGAGCCAGTGGCAATATTGGAAAGGTAGGTTAGAAAGCTGAGGTTAAAGAACATTGCATCACTAAAGGTTCAGTGGCTGGGTCAGCTGGTCGAAGAGGCGACCTGGGAGACCGAGCAGGATATGCGTAGCCGTTACCCTTATCTTTTCACTACTTCAGGTATGTCTCTATGATCGTTCGAGGACGAACAAATATTTAAGTGTAGGAAGATATGACGACCCAGCCGGTTGTCTTAATAATTTATGTCCCGATCCCCTATTAACTACTTTCCCTATTTTTATTTATGCTATTTTGATTTGCCAGGATGTTCGGTTGTGAGTTTCAGAGAGTTTTGGGACATTTAGTCCCTAAATGAGAGCTTAAGTGTTAGAAAGTTGACCATAGTTGGAACAGTGTGAAGACGGCCTTGGAATGGAAATTTGATGGTTCCGTTAGCTTCGTTGGGTGATTTTGGGCTTAGGGGCATGTATGCGGCAAAATCAGAGGACTTGATTTCTCGCTATCAAGTCACTTTGGAAGAACGCCTCGAGACCACGAGGATGGGAGGCCACGACCGAGTTCCCGACCTCGGGGCTGGTCGAGGCCCGACTCAGAGAAAATGGAGATCGAAGCCAGGACAGAAGGGAAGCTCCCAAGGCACACGGCTAAGTCTGACAGGGCCGGCCTATCCAGAGCCTATGCTGAGTCATCGCGTCAAACCATCCCGTCTCCATACTTTGTAATTAATGCCCATGTGCTTGTAGCCGAGTTCCCCTCCTATATAAAGGGGACTCACGCTACCTTGTAATGGGCTGACGGTGCTCCATCTCTCCACAAGTTCCATAATATCTCTCTATCTCTCTCTCTTCTTTCTAAACTTGTTCGTTCTCACTGGCCCGAGGCCATCCTAATATCTATCGCTCTCTTACTTGTTCTCCATCATATAGCTTAGTATTGGTCGTAATGAGCCTTGTTTAATTATAACCTCAAATGTTATCCTATCCCTGACTATCCCCGATAGCTCGAGCTCGACCCCGAGGTCCCCCATCGACCCGGCCTATATTCGGGCAGAAGGCCCTTCTCAACTCGCATTTAATCTTTAAAGTTCATATTATTAGCATCAACTGCTCTAACAACTAGCTCGGGAATAGATCACGTATTTTTAGAATCCTATTTACAATTTAATTGTTGTTACCATTTACATGGTAAACAGTTTGGCGCCCATCCGGGGCTAAAAATAATAGTGATTATTTCCTTGCTGGTTTCATTGCACAAACGCACATTATCCTTCACGCCTTTTCTTGTCCAAAATCCTTTGATTTTAGGTCAAAATGTCTGGCTCGGTAAATGGACTCGAGAATGACAACCTCGAAAACCACGGGGAAAATGGCGTGGATGTCCCGGTCATCAGAGCACCACTACAAAATCTCGATAATGCGCCCAGACTGATTCTAGCGGATGCGGACTCACAGGACGCACAACAGGTCAACGAGGCCCCGCACACCGATAGGAGAATTCAGCATATCGACCAACAGGAAGCCCAACAAACCCCAGCTCAGGAAACATAGGAAGTTAGTCTTCATGACATTTTTGAAATATTGTAGGCACATCAATTGGCTATTGCTCAGGTGCAGAGCCATTTGGGGACCCCCAGCACAGTAGCACCAGAAATGGCTCCCTACGCCGAACGATTACCCAAAAGATCAAGCGACAACGAACTGATAACAGACTCCGCCACAACAAAGCCGCTAGAGGATCTCTCCAAGGGAATCGAGTCAGGTTCATGGAGGTTCATACAAGTTATCTCCCGGGGAAGCGTTCCCAAAACCTGCTTCACGGAAATTCAGAACGCCGGAACTCCCTAGGTGCGATAGGACCTTGGGTCCCGACGAGCGCACCACCGCTTACACATGTGCGGAAAAAGGCAGCGACCCTCAAGATGATGAGCTTGAGCCCATCTCGTTGAAGAAGTTTGGGGAAACACTCTCGAAAGAAACCATGATGTGGCGCCGCAGTCTAGTGCCTGACCTCACAAACTCGCTTACCGCGCCAGCAGATTCCTCCGTAGAAGCACATGCCGACGCCATTGAAGCAGTAACGGAAGAGCCCGGCACATCGAAGGCCGAACAAAGAGAGAATGAAACATCACAGGAAGTCGTGCCTCATCCCATGATAGGACGAATGAGATCGCTCCCAGTTTCAGATGACCGAGCAACCCAGGCCCTATCCCAAAGTTTAAACTAATCATGCCCAACGACTGCAATCATTTCAAATGAAGCTTCATTAGATACCCACCCAAGACCTGGTCGGATGCCCGTACCCGGCACCTGCCACGAATCAGGGCCACAGACAATCATCCGGGAGCCTCTACGGGCCCGGTGTACCCAAGCAGGCTCCCAGCAAAGAAACTAATGCCTAACAGATGGAGGTACCATCCATGCACCGCGAATAGGAGGAACGCCACAAGATGCAACCTACCTCACAACGGTAGGGAAATAGTTCGAGGGCAACGTCCTCGAGGAACCTTCAGTTGAATCGGATCCGAAGAGGCACAACTAGAAGAGGAACCCCGCTCAATGGAGTACAATTTCAACATTGCTATACAAATATCATAATCACCATAATCGAAACCAAGGACACCGAACGGCTCAGGACTATTCGACCAAGACCCTTTCAAACGAACCACAACCCGACGTGGGGACCACAGAGCGCGCGCGGCCACGAGGTCAAAAATGGCCACCAGCTCAGAGGGATGACAGCCGTGCTACTCAATAAAAATCACCGCGGAGTACCATCGAATGGTCAGGCTCGAGTCCAGCCCTAGGGGAAGAGGGTAACCGAGGATGATGAAGCGAACAAACCACGACGTATTACCACGACAACGTAGGAGCGACGACACCCTCCAGGGACTCATAAAATGGGAAGTAAAAATGTTCGCCGTCAGGAAAAAATGGGTCCAGGGAAATATTTGGGAGGACACCCTTATACCCAGGGAAAAGGGAATCGAGACTCCGCCCCGGCATCACACAGACGCATTGGTAACCCTCTCCCTCATTTGATCTATTTTGAATAAAACGTGTGTTCATGAATTCAGGCGGTTCGGTCACATGCAACAACGACATCGAACTAAGTCAGTGGGGCGGTCCAAACTAACGAACCAAATTGCCCCTGTATCCTGAATCCCCGGAGAATTCCAAATGACAAATTGCCACAAAGACCATTCTCTTGATATAGCCCGTCTGAGCTCGAGCCGGGATGTAGAGCTCTGTAACATCGGAGGAGGTGCAAAGCACGGGCATCTTATTAAGACGACTGTCGGCACACCACCCGGAGACAGCGTCGGCCCCATTTTTTCAAAAGCATGAAACCCCTCGCAAAGGGCAGAACTAAAATAAGTTGACAGAAAGCAATACACAACTCATAGACTAGAGCCGAAATAGTTAAAATACAATATGCCTAAGGGCACAACACAAATTCCACTATCGCCAGCCAAGTAAGCCTCCAGGCCACCCACCTGTAAGGTCACTTCGACCCAAAGCACAAAAGGCCATTGCTGTCCGCCCATACAGGCAGGATAAAACATGAGGGTCAATTGAACGTCGAGTCGCAACGCGACTCGGAGACGGGACTCAAAATGGTTAAACTACAATATTCCTAAGGGCACGGTATAAATGCCACTATCGCCAGCCGAGTGAGCCTCCGGGCCACCCACCTGTAAGGCCACTTCGATCCTAAGCACAAAAGGCCATCACCGTCCGCCCATGCAGGCAGGATAAAACATGAGGGTCAATTTGAACCTCGAATCGCAACGCGACTCGGAGACTGAACCCAAAATAGTCGAAACGACAAATTCCCAAGGGCAAGAAATGGGAACAATTACTACCTGCCCGCATGGGCATAGATGATTTAATGGCAGGAAAGCTCGAGTCAAAGCCTAACTCGGAGACTGAGCCTAAACAACAGGCCAAAGCACGGAGGCCCCAACACCCGCTCACGTCAAGGATCGCACTTAAGAGCCCTCAGGCCTATCCGATCAGTTCAGGACCTACGAGGATCCCGCCAAACACTGAAACCAACCTGCTTAGTCAAAAGCAATAACATAAAAGAGATGCGGGATAAATAAAGCTTCAAGTTTCCTCTTATCTTACATACGCAAAGAAAAAAAAAAGGGCATACTCTACATCTACAGGCATGCTCTACATTTATCAAATACAAAGCGACAAAACGGCGAAATCTACACTCCGCTCCAAAGGGCTACAACTTGCTGGGTTCACTCTTCGCCTCATCAGCAAGAAGTGACCACGCGTCACGCTCGTCCACCCTTGCTCGAGCCAATTCCTCTAGGAGAACAAAGCACCCCGCACCGATCTCCTCGAGTACTTCTCTTCGGGATCTGCAACAAACATATTCATCAATCCTCTTCTCCCGGTCGAGGGCTCGCTTCAGCTCGGCTTGAGCGTCCGCAACGTCTTTCATTCAAATCACCATCTCCTGATCAGCCTTGGTTTGGCTTAGTGCCGCTTCAGCTCGGGCATCAATTATCTCAGCCCTCATCTTCAAGAGGTCAGATTCGAGTTTCCCGATCATATCCGCTTGAAATTTGACATTATCACAAGCCAAGGGGAGTTGGACTTCGAAGGCGAGGACCTTGGCTGAGGCGCATGTCTCCTTTAAAGCTTGAGCTTGCACCTGAGCCCTTAGCTCACCACAGGCAGTTCTGATGCGGTCGATGTCGCCCTTGAGGTATTCCAAAGCCTCCGTCTTTTTCTGCAACTAATATAACAAAAGGGGGGTTAACCTTGAGGGCCAAAGAGAGCAAAGCATGAGCTGCAAAAGGTTACCTGCTCCATCAAATAGTGTCACACTTCTTTTTTCATACCCCGAGAAGGGTATAAGGGAGTTTTTTCCAATTTAAGTGACAATCAAAATAGGATTATTATTTAAAAATCAGAGTCACCACTTGGGATAATTTATGGTGTCCCAGGTCACCGATTTAGAATCCCGAATCGAGGAAGATTTGACTCTGTTTATGTCTGCGAACACATAAATTCGGGTAAGGAATTCTGTTAACCCGGGAGAAGGTGTTAGGCATTCCCGAGTTTCGTGGTTCTAGCACGGTGGCTCAACTATTATTATTGGCCTAATTATTTGATTTTAAAACACTTTTAAACCTATGTGCATTTTTAACCTTTTAGCCACTTTTAATTATTTTAAAATGCTTTTAGGGAGATTCAACATTATTTAAAACATGTCTTTAACCACGCCACATGAAATGCACCCGCGGTTTGCGACACGTTCTATTTAACTTTGTTAAGAATTGAATTTGGGTCACATGAAATGTGCACCCGAGGTTAATAATTAAAAGAAAGTCAATTTAAAGAACGCGCCTAAAGCAACTACGAAGGTTCAAATTAATAACAAAGTTTGCGAGGGCCATGAAAAATTCAATTGATGGCACACCTCGATTTTAAAAAGAATTAGTATAAATTACATGAGGGCCATGGGTTATTTAATGAAAATGGCACACCTCAAATTTCTATAAAAGCTAGCTAGTTTTACGAGGGTCATGGACTTAAAGATTATATTTGGCACGGCACGCCTCAATCTAGGCCCAAATCAATCAAAGAAACACCTTGGGTTCTTTATCAAATATCAAACCAATTATTAAGAGGCCTAATTACTGAAACAAGTACAGTTGAACAAATTCCTATCAACACCTTAATAATTAAAACCAAAATCACATGGCCAATATCAGAACCCATATCCAACTTCACGATGCCCATTATTGTTCAATGGCCCATATTTGACCATCTAATGCTAGTCTAAAATGATTGGCTAACCAAGAGAAGCTAACAGCTAATATGAAACTAAGTTTCAGGCAAAGATACCTTAACACATAAATAGCAAAAAAGGAACAGTAGGCAAGCATAGAAACAAAAATTATCATCAGCCAAGACTAGTATTTCATTCAAGCACAAAATCATAGCATTTGAACATTAAATCAACATTAATCGAGGTTGACACAAGAAATGAACCTAAAATATGAATCTGAACTTTCAATTGTTCAACAGCTTCACAATTCAAAATTGAACTAGGCTGCAGACGAACAACTTGACTGAAGCTTGACAACCTCGAACCAAAACCCGCTAATGTTCCTCTTGAACCATGACTCCAATGGACGACCATTGTCACCTAAAATTTTACCGGCAACTCGATTGGATTTCGGTGTAGTATTTCGACTCGTTTTTGGGTGGTTATGGACTGCTTTTCGAGCTGATTTTAGAACTGTTTTGTACTGTTTTTCGCTACATCTTTTGAGTATTTTGAACTGGTCTTCGGCTCATTTGATGGGCTGGTTTGGGACTGATTTGCTAGAGGATTTTGTCAAGGTTCTCTTATGGGGTTGGCTGTTGCTTTGTCAAGAGAGATGGGGGTTATTTTTGAAGAAGATGGTGTTGAGATGAGGGGTCCTTTTCTGATTTCTTGTGTGCCGAAGAACAGGGGCTCGTTTTGATGATAAGGACGACCCTGTTGAAGAAGCAGCAGCGTTTGGTGGAGAAGACGACCGAGGGGGGTGGGTGGGATCTTTTGAGAATTGCGGCTGGAAGCTTTTTCAGTCTTTTGGTCTTTAGGGCGTTAATTTATTTTAGGTCCTGGCACTTATTTAGGAATTAGGTACTAATATATAGGGGTAGGAATTAGGTTAGGGATATGGGCTTAGGGATTATGGGCTTGGTAATTATAGGCTAGGTTCAAAAATTAGACCAAAAAATGGGTTGCTTGAGCCCAATTTTTATTCTTTCCCCGCGAACGAGACTAAAAATACGATCTCATTTATTAATTAATCCTACTTAAGTAAAATAACTATTAAAATAAGACTGACTGCTAAAACAAAACTATTTTTGGTATTTTTCAAGATTAAAAATGACTAAAAAACATTAATGAAACTATTTTTTTCGTAATTTTTATTTTCTTGTAATAAAATAAAGTAAAAGAGTCAAAATTAGTTGAAATAGCGATATTAAGCCTAAATTAAATATTTACATGCTAAAATATAAAAAATCTTGGGGAAGGTCAAAAATCACATGTCTACAACTGCCCCTCTTTGACTGGAAATACGAAGTATTTTTAGACAAAGAATGACTAGACATGTTTTTTGACCCGACCCTTATTTAGGGATACCAAAACTAAGACAAAGGGGAATGTGACCGAGCTCTGGTATCTCAGCTTCCTACATATCCTTGGCTATAAAGGAATACGGCCATGTGTAGTTCAGAAGTATAAACAGTGATGGAGTATACTGAGGTGGAGAGTTGATCAAGGTGCCGTTCTGCCAAGGTTCCGGTCCGCGGTCCTGTTATTACATCAAAAATCAAAAAATGAAAAAGGCTAGCTAATCCTGTCAACTACGAGTTACAAGATTCCTATCTATAAGTCTTCTGAAGCTTGATCTTGAGTCTTGAATGGTTCTTCATGCAGACTTTGGATTTGAACCTTGACGCTTGCTAGCTGCAGGTGCTAGTTCATTCTTCTTCAGATTTTCAGATCAAAATCGGGCATACCATGCTTGTAACTTCACACATGTCTTGAGCAGCTCACATCTTTCATCAACTTCTGCATTTGGATTCACTTCTTGCCTTTCTTTTCTTTTTTTTTTGTTCTGGATTATGACTAACTTCCGTTGATCATCTCGGACTATTGACTCACATTCTTACCACGAGCTTCTTTCGTTGCTGACTTGAATTGCATTCTGAAGTAAATTCTCTTATTCTCCAGGTAGGCACCTGATTGCCAATATTAGAACTATCTTCCTTTGAAACTTGGACTGCCTTCTCCTTGTACTCCAGGTGGGTGTTTGATTGCCAATACTTGCACTGTTTTTCCTCGAAACTTGAACTGTTTTCCCTTTTTTCCAAGTGGGTGCCTGATTGTTGAACATGAACCGTCTTCCTTTAAACATTGCTGATTTCCTTTTGTTCTCCAAGCGGGCTCCTGATTACCAACATTTACACGGTTTTCCCTCGAAACTTGAATTGCTTCCCTTTGTTCTCCAGGTGGGCTCCTGATTACCAACATTTACACGGTTTTCCCTCGAAACTTGAATTGCTTCCCTTTGTTCTCCAGGTGGGCTCCTGATTACCAACACTCGAATTTCTTTTCCCTTTGTTCTCCAGGTGGGCTCCTGATTACCGACACTTGAATTGCTTTTCCTTTTTTCTCCAGGTGGGCTCCTGATTACCGACACTTGAATTGCTTTTCCTTTTTTCTCCAGGTGGGCTCCTAATTTCCAACACTTGAACTGCTTTCCCTTTGTTCTCCAGGTGTGCTCCTGATTATCGACACTTGAATTGTTTTTTCCTTTGTTCTCCAGGTGGGCTCCTGATTACCGACACTTGAACTGTTTTCCCTTTGTTCTCCAGGTGGGCTCCTGATTACCGACACTTAAATTTCTCCTCCCTTTGTTCTCCAGGTGGGCTCCTGATTACCAACACTCGAATTGTTTTTACCTTTGTTCTTCATGTGGGTACCTGATTGCTTGGGCCTGAACTACTTTCCATTCTTGAAACTCGTGTTGTCTTCCCTTGCTCTCCAGGTGGGTGCCTGATTTCAGCAAACCAGACAAAACAAAAGAATTTTCTGCCCCAGTTTGATATTGGGGACATCTGTGAGTGTTAACCGATTCTTGTTATCAAAATAAATTCTAAGCTAAATTCCCTTATCCTGAAAATTTTAATCCAAGTCTCGTCTCAAAAGTGAAAAAATTTAAATGCTGAATTATACTTTCCAAAAGTAGAACTTACACTAAATCTTGTTAACTATGAAGGTCTTAAAATTTAACTAGGTACTGTAAGCACGTGATTTTTGACCCTCCCCGAGAATTTTCACATTTTTAGCATGAATATGTGAAATTGGGTCTAGTATAGCTATTTTAACTATTTTTACTTTATTTCGTTGCAAAAAGAAAATTTCAAAAAAATATATATATAAATTTTAGTTTATGTACCTCTCATAAACTTGAAAAATACAAAATTGTACTTTATTTTGGTACTTTATATAAATTCGAAAATTACAAAAAATATAGTTCTATTAATGTTTGCAGTCATTATAATTTTGAAAAATACAAAAATATTACTTCATATTTTTTTCTTTAATAAAAAACGAAAATTACAAAAAAAAAGTTTTATTAATATTCTATAGTCATTTTAACTTTGAAAAATACAAAAAAAATATTTCTTCATATTTTATCTTAATATTTAAAAAAACGAAAATTACAATAAATAAGTTTTATTAATATTTTGTAGCTATTTTAAATCTTGAAAATGTTTAAAAAAAAAGATATAGTTTTGTTTAAATACTAGTCTTATTTTTGGTAGTTATTTTGCTTACATAGGACTAGTTAAGCAACGTGTTCCTATTTCTCGGGTCCCGGCAAAAGAATAATATTCGGGTTCAAACTACCCGGTTTTAGGCCTAATTTTCGGACCTAGCCCATAATAAACCGTGTCTAGGACACGTGGGGAACCCCACCACGCGTGGGGGACATATGCCTCGAACCCCACCACGCGTGGGGCTCATTTTCATGGGCATTGTATTACAAAAACACGGACAAAAGCATAAAAGGACTGGGGGAATTTTGAAAAGAGGAGGATTTTGGAATTTTAAAAGAAGAAAACGAGTACTGTTCCTCCTTCTTCCTCCTGGGCAAAACGAAGAAAACCCTACTGACCTGGACGAACGCCAAGAATACCACCAAACGAAACCAGCCCTTCCACCACCCAAAAACCACCATAAGCAAC